TAAGGTTGAAACTTTATTACTAAGCAAAAATCTCACATACGAAAATTTCGTTTCAGTGGCACTTTAAGTTACACACCGCAATTTGACACTACTTTAAGAAACAAGGTTAATGTAAGTCTTGGAACGCGCAGATAGATGAATCACTGAGTTAAATATGTCACTATCAACAGAATGAGCCGCAGCATTACTATCTTTTAGATACTCTACTTTATCACACTTGTGTTCCTAATATAATGCTTTGTCGGTTATACCAGACTTGATTAATCGATCTAAATCCTTATTTAATTTACGTTTCCATGTCCATGTACGTTTATTTCTCTTTCTGTTAGTACGTGAGCTTAAGCTTTGCAAGCTTCACTTGTTTCCATTCATGCCATTCATGCCATTCACCGCTTTGCCTTCACGTCGTTTCCTGACGCAGTCCGCCATGACGTCTTTGATGGTTTGTTCACCCAGCAGAGTGTTGAATTCGCACAGTTTTGTCAAGCGGTCAAACGGCTTGGGAGTGTAATGGAAATTGAACGTGCTATAATGACCTTCTGAATCCTCAAAAATCGAAAAGTTTGCGAAATCCAGCTCTTCAGCAGTCTTGCGAGGAACTCCTAAAAATACGAAACAACACCACAATAAGCAGACACAGCAATAGGCCATATCCCAATTATTTTGTGTCTCTGTTCCAAAATGATGTCCTCGTGCAAAACCTTTGACGTAAACTTGAGTTTGATTTACATGAAAATGAAGCTGTAGGCATAGTAGAGGAGACTAACTACGCTGTAGGTGGAACATATTTTCATATGAATGGTTTTGCACAAAGACTCGTTTTGACAAGGAGGCGGCAGTTTTGGAGGGTAGTGCGCGCGCAGCAAGAGTACTAGTACTAGTCAGCATGGCGTTGCTCAACCTCGTACCCAGAGTCTTCGTTCCCCTTGACCAGCGGTCGAGAAACGAGCGTCCCAGTGGAAAGTTCTGATTGGAAGTCGAAAACATCGGACTTCCGGGCCTAGCCGACAGAGAAGTCACTGGCGTTCACTTCCGTTCATTAACATTGTTTTAAAAACCAATAAAATCGAGCTTGTAGCGGAACTCTCGAGAGTTGCTCGTTTTGTCAAGCTCCTTCTCTGTCCCCTCATTTCCTCTTGGGGGGGCAGGACGGGGTATGAAGTTTGGTAAATATGGACTGGATAACAGTGGAATCCCTATTTTTCGAACCTCCAAGGGAAACGAAAATTGGTTGGAAAAATCGGAGAGTTCGAGGAATCGGGGGTAAAATTACAGTGTTCGACTGAGGAGAGGGAACGACTTTTGGTTCGAGTTATCGAGAGGTTCGAAAAATTGAGGGTTCGAGAAATCGGGATTCCACACTACTACGAATTATCACAGTTCCTACATAACGAGAACACGAAAGTTACTCCACTCATGAATCAAACCTGGCTTGCTTTGTTCTTTGAACGTTTTGTTGACAAGTGGAAAGTGCACCACAACTGGACAAGTAGGATCGTTCGGGTCCGAAAACACGTAATACTCCCTATTATAGCCATCCTTAAGGAACTGATAGGTAGCGTCAATGGGAGGGAATTTGAAGTTGTTCTTCCTTGCCCATTCCTCTGCCAGCAAAAGTTCCTGGAAATAACGATAAAAAACTCAATATGCACTTAAATACTGGTCGCAATGGAAGCGGGTAGTTTTGTTTTCCCGAGAAGAAGTCGAGGGAAACATCGAGATTCTTGCTTAATTTTTGCCCGCCGGGCGACATTTATTAAGGGCGCTTTTATTATGCAAGACCGACCGGTCAGAGACCAGCGGGACTAACCGAGGAAAATGGAACGACATTTTCCGATTACTGCGCACGTAAATTCACACGTCACGTCATGCATGAGAGCGCGCGCTAAGTAATAAAATGAACAATGATAAGGCAGATGGCCATTGCTATGGCTTTGCCTGGATTTAACGATCTTGGACGTTCGGTGACCCCTATTTTTATTTTCAGAAACAGATTTTATCTACAATTATCTCCACATTGTCCAAAAATGAACAAAAAATCAATATGGGAAGTTAAAAAAAATTTAAGATTTCTGTCCACGGAATATCGAATCCTGCCATCTTGCGGCTGCAAGGCGCGTGAAACTATGGTCGCTGGATGCGAACTTGTTCTTTATGGAACCTCACCAGTTCACTAAATTCACTCAATAGGTCCGCTTAAATAATATTTGGCCGAGAACATTTCACTTCAAAGATCTAATTGCAGTATTTTTGGGCTTACAGACATCGTGGCCTTATTTACTAACGAAGCCCGATTTTTTCAGATTCAGGGTGTTCTTCCGGGCATGTTCTCCAAAACGAAGTTGGTGATCCCCCATTTCGCTTCCACCGGTCCGACCGATCAAAGTAGACTACCTCCAAAGCTGGTCCCGAATATTTCGGTCTTCCATTTTTCCATTTAACTTCCGATCGAAATTTCCGGAATTTTTGGCATCAGTTATAAAAGCACCCTTAGATTTCACCAATGCTACGTGACCAAAAAGTCAACCAATAAGAGCGCGCGTCAGATTCAGCTAAACGCTAGCTTTATAACAGAAAGACTTCATTCAGGTTGCCAAATCATAGCATTACACAAAACTTTAACGCCACCAAAAAGAGCATTTGTTGTTTGATGAAAATCCTTAATCGAGGTATTTGAAGTTTCTTTTATGACAACGAAACGACTTTTGTGGCATGCCACTGATAAAGATATGCACAACTAAACCCGGCATGTGTTGCTTTGGCCTCCTTGTTTTGCATGAGAATTCAATATTCAATTTACTAACCTGGAAAGGAGACTCGTCGTCCTTATCGCGAGCACTGAAGTCAAATGACAGAAAGATGTCGACGTCTCGCTGAGGTCTCAAAAGCAGAGGGTACGGAGAGTTGAACACGAGCCCGCTATCCACTAAATAGATGCGCTTGGCCTTCAGAGCTAGCTGGTCAACGGTTTCAGAAACCTCTTCTGCTTCTGTACAGAAGACAATGAAAAGAAAACACACTCATGAAAATTTTAAAAACTTCTCCGGTTTTCTGCCTCCACGTGTTTTTTGTGGAAAGTACAGGGAAATTAAAAGAGCTACGATAATTTTCAACTGTTAATTCAGTGATTTTGGCGGAGAAAACAGCAGTTTGCTCTAACAATCTCGTCGCCGTGATTTTTTCACGCGTTTAAATCCAAGATGGTGGCATCTTGGAATTGAGAGCTGGATGGACCCTAGCAGTGACATGGATACTGTACATGATCTGAAGATTTAACTAGTTAAAAACTAGTTATGAAAAATACACAAAAAAACCCAGTAAACTCAAAAAATTCAATTGGAGAACCGTCCCTTAAAACGCGAAATAGAGAAAGCTGAAAATGTTAGTAAACAAAGTCAATGTCTCACCCTTGGGGATTGGTGCAGTCAATAGTTGCAGACCGCGTAAGAAATTGTGCACCAGGCCTGCTCGTCCATCGCGTGATTTCAGGAATGAAACTTTTTCCATGAAACTCTCCATTAAGTCGGTGAGGAAGCTGTGATCTCCACATTCATTATCATGTGCCGCTGCTTCCTCCTTGGTTTCCTCTCCGTCTGTAGCATCCATGTCTTCTTCCTCATCGCTGAATTCATCATCATCCTCGGGTCTTACATTCTCCGAATTAATCATACCATCTAGGGGATGGAAGGTAGAAGGGTTAAGTCNCGTGAGAGTAAAGTGTCTTGCCCAAGAACACAACACAATGTCCCCGACCAGGGCTCGAACCCGGACCGCTCGCTCCGGAGTCCAGCACACTAACCATGAGGCCACCGCACCTCCCAAGGGGATGGAAGGTAGCAGGCAGAAATTAGCCTTCGTCTTTCACCATAACGAAGTTCACACACGAGGAAACATCTCAGGTAGATTTCAGGCCAGGACTATGCTTAAAAAAAATAACAAAGGGCCGGTGTCGATATCTTGTTATTTCTCTCAGTACACCCCTAAGAGATGACTTGAAGCAGAAAAAAAGTTTTTCCTGCTTGAAGACCCGAAGTGGTACCAAAAACTGCAGTTTGAGTCACACCGAAAGCGAGAGGAAGAGCAACCCCAGCCCCTTTTCAATGTGAGTTCCTGTTCATTTGTATCACTTACGTAACTCTCCTCTCAGATCACCAGTGTTGCGCATGCTCTTGATGGTGTCGTCAGGTGGTTTGCCCTCGTGAAGAACTCGCTGAAGCAAAATGGTGAAAGCGCTGCCCCAAATACCTGTGGATACAGACGATTGTGTCAAATGAAAAAAAAAAAAAGCTGCGCAACGAATTCTAAAATTACTTGGAAAGATATTTCAGAAGGATCCAATAATACGGTAGTTTAATTTCTTTTAAACAATAAGACCACGAGCCCCGGATTTCCTTTGTGCGAATTAATCGTTAGTAAGTTGGATCCCAGTTGAATATCGCTCATAGAGATCAGCTGTTTAGGGAAGAGCCGTTTTAGCAAATACTGTGAAAGACAGCGGTTGCAAACCTACAATTTAAGGTAACTTGGGAGCTTTATTTTTGCAATGATGCCAACAAATTTTAGAAACTCGATTTAACCAATCTGAGGAAACAGTTTCAACCAGTCGGAGGCAAAGCCAAAACAAATAGTGACTTGGCTCTACGCTCGTCTGCTTCAGTTTGAGGTCTGATTGTTCATAATTATCAAATGGGTTTTTTTGAAGCCGGTCGTAAGTATACCTGACCTTTCACGAGAGTGCCGTTAAGAGAGCTCTCGCAGTATTTAATTTCAGCGGCAATTACCATTCAATTTCAGTTTAGACGGGGCAGCACTTAACACTGTCCAAACGGCTTTGATGATTTATTGAGCATGCGCTTTTCGTAATATGCGATGCTTTTCAAGGAACTTCTATTATTACTCGCTCCACTGATAGCTGTGTGTTACTGACCTTGTAGGTAATGCAGAGGAGGTTCAGGATAGGGTGTCAGCAGCTTGCCGCAGAAAAACTTGCTTCCAAAATGTTCCGTCTTCATGAAAGTGCCATATTTTGCCATTCCTATTTCATAAGGGCTAAACTCGAGCCATTCTGCCAAAGGAGAAACAAATGTATCAACAAAATTAAAATTTATTTATTTATTTAAACAATTTGCCAAAGGTAGGTGAGACGCAAAAAGACATTTCGTCCCCTACAAGGTGTGTCACCCTTACTCAACCCACAAATTATAAAAACAAAATAATGGCCATCCCTCAAAGAAACCCCTAAGAAAACAATATATTAAGTGAATAATTGCACTTGAAAAGAAAAAAGTTAAAAGTATAATACATATTAAAAAAAACTAGTACAACGACTCTTAATTATAAATTCCACTAATTACAGTGGGAGAAACACACATGCACATACACGCACACACACAAAAACAAGTCAAGATTATTTCTCAAACTCATTACTAATTCATCAAGGTAAAATAAAGCTAAAGAAAACCACAACCGTGAAGTAGGTTTGGATACCCAGTCTTAATTAGCATAGATGTTGACGATTTTACTTCTCCATTTACTCCTTAGTTTTTCACTCGAGACAGTGTTTCATCAGCTATCCAAACACGTCGAATTTCGTCGAAAATACTCCGTTGCGCGTCGTATTTTAAACTATCTTCTCAGTGTTTGGATATCCCGATGAAACACTGTCTCTCTTGTTTTTATATTATATCAACAGGAACATCTGCGCGGCTTTCAGAATCTAGGTAGTCCAGCGCCGTGAACATTCCCCCGAGGAATTGGACTGGACTTGTGTTGATCATACGGAGCCGACTTTCTTTATCTTCGTTTGCCATTATTATGAAAAATTATTCATCAAACAGAAAGAAAGAGAGAAACAAAAAGGACGAAAAAAGCAGCTGAAGGCAGAAAGTTATCAAAAAGATATTGGTGAGATCTGAAATGTTTTAAAGTAATACATTATAACCTGAGTAATAAAGCAAGTCTGATGGGCAAACCACTGGAGCTTGTCCGCAGCATGAAACGACTACTCCATGGTGCAGAGTACGTTCGACCCTAATAACGGCTGCGAACAAGACCAGGTGGATAGAGTACACAAGGACAAAACCACATGACGTCATTCTTAACCAGAGTCGAACCAATTTCGTCCCAGGGTCTTGTCGAGTCCTCGACGATTTTCAACATGGCAGTTCTTCATTTTGAAAAGTGGAGAAGACTCTGGGGACGATTTTGAGCTCGAGCCTATCCAACGCACCGACCATATAAAGGCCACTAGGTCTGCCACACAAAGAAGATAAAAGTTTAACGAACTTTGTACTCAGCTTACCACAGTAGGTGAGAGCAGAAACATCCTTTTTCACGTGGACACAAGTGTAAAGTGGAAGGGGAACCATGGCGTCTTTCACAGTGTGGCGTTGTTCGCTCAATTTTGAGGTAATCTTCCGCTACGAGAGAAAAACACAGAAGATATTAGTGATTATTCTTGGCATACTTGGAACTCGGTGGCAATAAAGTGAGTTACTGGCAGATTACAGAGAGGTTGAGCTTGAAACAGGACAAGAAATTGATGACGATCGATCTTTCCCTGATTTGAAAGTTCGGTCAGATGAAATATAGCTGATAAAATTTTTAGATCTCTCTGAGAAACTTAAAGGAATTTCTCTTCAATGTTTTATCGCATGTTCCCTACTGCCATGTTAAAATGATAACAAATTCCTGGATTTTTTCAAGCTCGTCGTTGATTAGTCTCACGGGTTTTCCTATTCTTCCATCACCGTTCCCTTCTGGCTCGTTGTTACCTCTTTGAAGTTTGCTACATTTCAGAAAGGTCATTTTTACACCACTAAAAGTTGAATCAACATTTTGTGGTGAAAGGCTTAAAGTATCGGAATTGAATACCGAGTCAGCCTGGGGACAAGGTTTGTTTCGTTGAGTGTGATCTGGGTTCTAGTAAACTTACGTCTTTCAAAATGGTCTCTCCGACCAGATAACCGAAAAAATCCGTGAAACTGACAGGCTGTCCGCGTGACCTCTTACGTAGAATAATGCTCATGTGATTGTACAGCCATGATGGGGTTAGTAACAGCCACATCCAGTTGTCCTTGATGTTTTCTCTCAAATCTTGCTCGATTTGACGCGGATGCACATTCGGCCAGTCAGGATGGGAATATAAGGTGGAGAGATACCTGAAATGCGTCAAACACCAGTGGTTAATTCCTGTCTTCTGGCTAGCTATCTTATGAATGGAAGAGAAGGGGGAACTGAACCTTTTGGTTCCCGTACCTTTTACCCCTGGCACGCCACTTTTTAGTCAATCTCTGTGCTGTTTGTATTGCAAAATATTTAGAAATGTTACGAAATTTTCCCTATTTCTCCTCCGTTCCCGCAACCTTGGAAATCAGGCTTCTGCCCTTTTCTCTCTTTTTACAACAATTCAAGTGGTGGACGGGATATACGGGGAAGGTCCTAAACATTTTCAGACGAAACCTGGTGGGTTGTGGAAGGACGACAAATGGTCGCTTGGCAGGGGAAGACGGGAAGGGGAAGGTTCCATTGAAGGCTTCAAACCCAGCCTTGCTTCATTGTTATTCGGATCCAGACCATATCAAGACACTGAATCTATTCATTTCGTGCGCTGATTAAAGCAAGACTCCTAATTAGCGAGTATATTCTCGAGAAGCATGCAACCCAGGTTTCATAATTTGAATTGTTTCCAGAATACTTTCAGATCTTTGCGTCTGTTTTCGCCCTCTCCTCCGCCCTTAAACCCTGCCCCCCCTCCCCGGCCCCTTTCTGCCCCCCAATCTCGTCTTAATAGGGTTAATCGAAGTCAATAATATAGTTAATAGACTCTGGGTCAATATATTAACTTGTACAAAAATGCCAAAAAAATCCTGACCCAAACAATACAGTTTAAAGTGACGTACCACGCTGATCCTGACAGTCCAGAAGTGTACATGGCACAATCTAACACACCCATGTCCTTGAGAGCGCAGAAAACGCCACTGAGAGAAACCATAGCCCGAAATCCGCCCCCAGAACCAAGAACAGCAACCGATGGCACCTAATTCAAATCGAGTCGAGAAAAAGTCTAATTTTAAAGTCATGTTGAGTTTGTTTAGACTTTTGAGACTTTCTCCGCTTATACGAGAACATAGTTCGTTTTATAACACGCATACGTTTGCTTAGATATTAACGACTATCCAAATGAATTTGAAGAAAACGGTGATTTAAATTCGCCACAAGTATTGCAAACTAATGCAGTGAAAAGAAAGTTCTGAATTAGTCTTTGAACTTGTATCTTAGAACCGCTAATCACAAAAAATTAATTAATAGAATTACTTGAAAGATAATTCTATGGAATTTTCTCTTCTTTCGCTGTTCGTTTGAATTCTTTTCCAGACAAGAGACTGAGCCCGCGGTAATGGGCATACACGTTGCTAAGTAACCGATGACGTAATCCTAATGGCGCAAAACCAACACGATACATTTTGGTATGCTTGCGCTCTTTTCTTTGATCAGCCAATTAGAATTCGTAAACTCTTCTGTTTTATTCATTATTGCAAGCTATTAGTACATATTAAATATCTGTAACTCTGTATGTAAAGAATAACTCCTCTCGTCAATACACTGTATTACCCAATTACTTTTCACTAAATCTATATGTATAATTAGTTTTTGTTTTTGCACGTGCGTGTGTGTGTGCTTTGTGTGCTGTTGCAAGTGTCTCTTTCTTATTTTCTCTTCTAAACTGACCTAAATAAATAATTTCTTTAATCACTAAGGATGGCTGCCCACTCTTATTAGCCCATTAAGGTTATTTCGGGCAGTCATGTACTCGTTTTTGTTAAACTTATTTTTGTAAACTTAAATTTTAGGTATGAGTACAAATTAAGCTGTTGTTGTTTTGTTAGCAAGCAGTCCATAAACTGGACTTTGCGCTTCACTGTCGCCTACCTCGTCAAGAGTCCTGGGTCCTCGTTCTCCCAGAAGCTTCTGCATGGCCGTAAAAACAACATGTTTTCTTTTTTGGCGAAAGTCGTTTTCCTCCTCACATAGATCCATGCTGTACCTCATGTCAGTGGGTGTGGAACTGAAAAAAAATAAAAATAGTTTTGACTATTTTACATAGAAGAAACGATTTAGGATTTTCGTAATCTTTACGAGAGATTTCAATTTTTAACTTGGCTTTGTACCAGAGGCTTATAAAAAAAAAAGAATTGATGCGTGCTAAAAGGCCTCCTTAAAAATGCCACTTAGACCTGAGTACTATGTTAAAGTTCTTTAGTTACCAATTAGAGTAAAATAAACTAACTCTTTTCACCTTGTTTCAACTTTCAACTCCACGTCAACCTCTGAAGTCTAAAAAAAGTAACAAATATCTCAGAGATAGAAATACGTTCCTTGGCTTCCCGTCACGCTGCGTTGCGTTACAAGGTTTGTGTTACAGAGCAGGCAAGATTCACACTATACCTGGCGGAAAACAAAGGTTTTGCGATAAACTTTGTTAAGCTCCAAACTAGTAAGGTCGAATGTCTTGGTTTCCACCAAGTCGTCACTGAACGTGTCTGACTCCATCAGAGTAATTTCTGGAGAATTTAAAAAGAAAGACAATAATAATAACAACAACAACAACAACAAAGACAGTTAAACAAAGGGAACACTCAATCTCTTGGCCAAGGCTTTCGTTATCTTTGACCAATTGTCGAGAAAGTAGTTTCTAGATCCCAGTGGCCACAACTGAATTAAAATTGAATTGAATTGACAATGTTACAAAACTTAGTGAGTAAAGGACAGTGTTTTATTTGGCCTGTGAGGAAACTTTCTACACGTCACGGTTTCCTACGGGAAACGTGGGTTTTTGAAGCTTCTTTCCTGATTCAGAACGTCAGTTGTAGTGTATAGAGTTATGGATTTTTACTGTTAAGAACGTGCTGCATAAGGGCAATTTAAGACCGTAATAGAAAGCGCAATGGTAGATGGCAAAAAAGCACAGTATTCAAAGGAAGGAGTTCATAACATGAACCGTTTCCCGAAGTCGCTTCCAACGTCAATCTCATAGCATGTAACGAACTCAAGTGGCACTCTCACCTAAATTGTTTGTCATATCTGGGTCAAGGTAAAAGTGGAACACTTCCTCCCAGATAGGGTTGGCAGAGTTGTTGCGTACTTTGGTTTTACGCTTGCCATTTGGTGCCGTCTTGATGTACAGCTTTACATATGGATCCGGCGTGTCAACTGGAAAAGAAAGCGACAGAACAGTTTGGCAAAGGTAGCGCAGGATGATGTATAGAACTAACAATCTCATCAAAAAAGCAGGTGCACGTATCGCCATATAACAGAAGCTTACCACCTTGAAAAGGTGATGAGCTTCTGCACTGATACAATAATAGCCACCATAAAAAGATAAAAACTATGAAGTAGTTGAAATTACTTTTGAACACTTGGGTGGTGAGTAGAGGGGTGGGAGGGGGTTTGAAAAGACTAATTATCTAATGTCAGGGATGCTAGTCGTACCGCTAAACCGTTAAAAATCGCATATTAATACCGCTCAGAGTGTTAAAATTCAAGTGCTGTTACAGACCATGGTACTTTTAAGAGTGTGTTTTCAGAGTAAGCTACATAAACGAGAACAAAACTGTGAAAAAATGATTATGGTCTGGATTGTGTCTCTTCGTTGGCCATAGACATTATAGAAGTTATTCCCATTTTGTTCAATAGGTGCGCTCCTGTACCTCGCGCTTTTCGTACTTCACTTTTCGCTTTCTGAGCACGACTTGTGAGCAAGTTCTACGATGGCCAGTGTCACTTACATTATAACTCACCAACAAAAGTGTACTTAGGTGAAACGAAATTACGGGAACCCCCCTCCCAAGGCACAGTCTCTCGGGTGGAAAGGATCGCGGGCGCACCGAAACACCCACGGCTGGAGAGTGAGCCTTTGTTATTATAAACATTTGTTATTGTTGTTTGTTACGTTCGTTTGTTATACTTGTGTTCAATTATAGCTGATTATATTCTCTACAGTGGCAGGATCTGCTGCTTCTGTTTTGTTACGGCAATCATTGCAAATTTACGCTTGTTCCTTGCATAGCCTTTTTAGGTTTCTTAGGAGCATTTTTTAGACTGATTCTCGACGAGTAACCTTCTTCTCTTCTACGCGTTTAATATACTTACGCCAATCAGCAAACGAACCCAGGGTGATGTTCCGACCACGCAGCACTTTAATTTCGAGCAACAAACATGGTCGAAAGGATGCCTAGAAACCAACAGACACCTCACAATAAGGATAAGATAAAAAGCATTCTCACAACGAAAACCATGGATATAAGTGTCAGTTAACATTGTATAACTATGTATCAATCTTGTTAACCAAGCCTGCTCGGGATTCAGAATGGGCCCTCGACCAACAATTTTTTTTTGCAATAACGACCTCGGTCTTGTTCCGGGCCGGCCTCGTTTCCAGGGCTTTTGTTAGAAATTGGGAAGGGCGGAAACGTTCGGGTGTTTGATGATCACGTGACCAGCCGATGCCAGAGCCCTTTCACCCCTTGCCCCCTCCTCCCCGCCCTCAAGAAAACAAATCTAAGGAAAAAGCCACGCGAACGAGGTTAAAAAGAGGCCATACATGTCGTCAAATCCACCTGCAGATGCCTAGTCGATCAAAGTGCAGATAAACGACTGTCACAGAAAACTCAACTACTGCAACAACGACAAACTCCAACAACAACTTGACAAACTTAAACCACTGTTACTTGACACTGTTACTACGGATCTAAACTACTGGAACCAACCAATGACTGCTGATTTTATAAGAGTCTTACTGAGCCAGTACCATCACGGCTAAACTGACAAATCGTTTCAACGAGCAAGACTCATAACCCAATTGGCTGACGAACACTTTTCGCTTGACTCTGAAGATGGTTTCCGCATAGGTTGGTAAAAGGGCGACAATTTGCGTCAGCGACAATGTGCGCTGGCTGGCCCCACTGAGGGAAACAGTGAGTTTCCCGCGGGACCAGTCATTAAGTGTTTTGTTATACCTCCCAACTCAAAAATAGAAAAAAAAAATGGGAAGAAATCGGTTGCTTGAGGCCGGTTTTGCTCACAAATTTTCTGCGGTTTGATGGAGCACGACCTGATCACGTGCGAGTCGAAAGTTCAAGTTGTTGTTTCCCTAGGGAGTTAGAATGTTGTTCGCCCTAGGGAGTTTGTGAGTTTTGATCAACGACACGTGACACGTGTCTTTTCAGTTTTTTGCAACAGCGACATGACCAATGCCAGCGTGAAACTCTTTTGTGATCTTTTGTGTAATTTCTGACCATTTCTAGACTACTGGCAGCACAGAAGAGACCTATTTGACCGTATTTCTAGTTAAATTCACCGTATAATTGTGGCGCGAATCTGCTGTTGATTCAAATTACTGTACGTTACGTAATTCCGGACCACAGTCACACAGTATGCGGGTTTCGTCTTGCGGATAGGATTTCAACACACGCATAACACGATCACATGTAGACAGTTTGATTACGTACAGTGATTTGAGGTCATTTGAATCAACATCAAATTGGTTCGTGCTACTGAATTGAACGGTGAATTGAACTGGAAATACGGTCAAATAGGACTCCTCTGCTCCCTGTGCACAAAGCTCACAAACTCTTTGTCTAAACGATCAACTTGAATTGAATCAACAAGAAAACTTCCAAAGCGAATCTTGTCTATGCAAGACCATATGTAAATTAAATGAAAGAAAACAAATTCGCAAAACCTTAAATCTTGCGTATAAACTTACGCAAGCTAAAAAGAAGGACTTATTTCCGCGCACTGACACTTCAATTCTAGGAAACTACAGCAACGCGAAGATTTAGCTCGTACAGCGACATTTGTCTTTAACTAAATAGGCGACAGGCAGTCGAGACAGACATCCCCTTGGAAGGTCCGCGGGTCTTAAATCGAGGAAATACGACAAAATGAAATTTCATTGCGGCTTACCTGTTTTGGAGCCATTTTTAGTCAGCCACACCGATACACTGAAACCGCCGACTAATGAGGCTGGTTTAAACGCTTCGGTATGAAACCGGAGGACAGAGTGCTGACTGCGGTTTCCAATAAGATGATTACGAGAGGCGCGTCAGTCGGCTTGATCAAAAGATATCAAGAATCGTGTCACTTCGCACGTGGAATTTGTACCCACCCTAAAAATAGCGTTAGCGCTTGGTCGAATTTACTCCGGTCTTCTCGACAAATCTTAGCTTGGTTTGTTTGCTGTCTAATATCAAACCGTGTGATCTTCTCATGCTTGTTTCTCGGTTTTAAGAAAGATATTGCGATATGATGGAAGTATACCACCGAACACCTAACGCTCTTCTCGCATATAAATGAATCAATTTTAGATTGATTTTAGACAACTGATCAGCAACAGTTGACATAGAGCTCTTTGGATCATTGCTTTGCTATTTAATGAGTTAATGAAGCCATTTTTGGTCGAGTGATCACTTCTTGCCCCCACAGGGGAATGGAACTAGGAAATATTTGCATTAGCAAAATGGCCTATTCAGGGGGCTCATACGGGGGAACCTGCATTAACTACAGCAAGTCTGGGTCGTGTACCAGAGACATGTGCAAGTATAAGCAGATCTGTGACCGGTGCGACGGGACTCACACCTAGTGCGACCGCCTCTCTCTTCTCAAACACCAAGAGCAAGAGGGTGATAAGGACAAAGACAACGACCAAGAGAACTTCAAGTCCAGTTTCTCCCATAGACACAGGAACGGATGGCACCCCTCCCCACCCCTATTAGTATAGTGGAATCATGGGACACAAACAAGGTCACGTGCATCTATATTGTGACACCGGGCCCGGCT